AAAAAAAAAAAAAAAAAAAAAAAAAAAAAAAAAAAAAAAAAAAAAAAAAAAAAAAAAACGCAAAATTGTTTTATAAATTTTCACAAATACGTGAAGCAGTTAATGCCATTTCCAGACGTACAAAAATAACAAACAAAGCTTAATTATATTTATAGTTATGGGTAAGATAATATTTAAAAGCCTAGATTATGGTGTGTTGTTGAAATTATTATCATATTTTTAAGCAAAAAACATTTTTTAACAAATTTTCCTTAAAACCGTATCACATTAAAAATCAGTGAAGACTATGAATAATGTAACCCTATTATTAGTGTAACTATTTATCGATGTTCGAAATTTTATGTGTGACTTGTTCAGTCTTTTTCTTGGAATTTTTTTTTGTACAGCCGTCAATATTATTGTATTTTATATTTTATAATGTGACTGCAAACGATTTTTTTGTCCATTTTATAAAATATTTGTACTGTTCCTTGTGTTTGACATTTGTGAATCAGTGGCTTAGGTTTTATCATTTGACTCCATGAAATCTTTCACTTTTTGTATTGCTGTCTCTATTTTAATAGCAGTATCAGGCGGCATCTGGAATATTGTTGAATAATATTACCCAAAATTGTAACATTATATTAATTGCATCAAATAATATACTGGATACATGTCAAAAAAAATTTTAAATGTAAAGATGTTTGAAACAATTATCCTTGTTAAAGCTATCTATATTTTTGCGTGAAAATTAACTGTCTCAATTAGAGAATTCAATCTTAATATGTTAGGGATATATGATAAAGTGTACTCCAGATACGAATGATTTGTATGGGCATCCCCTACCACGAGTGATGGTTCTTTTTAAAAGAAAAGTCAAAATTTTCAATTGAACCCAATTTAGAATTTTTAAATAATAATGTTCAGATGAAACTAGAATCATTTTTTTTAGAACGGTTCATCATAAATCATAATAGGTTACATAAATCTATTTTTAATACAAACCTGCCCTTTCCCTCTAGGGTATACCTGTACAAAGTCTACCCCTGGGTTACTCTGAGATGCAGAGCTAGCCACGAGACTCTAAAAAAATCCGAGCTGAATTAATTATTTTAAACGTTGATTTGACAGAAATTTTACTCCCCTCCCCTTCCGATACCATCTGCACTTCAGATTATTTTCTAACCAACTGGGCCTCGGTCGGTCCTTGATAAAAATATTTTTAAGATTCCTTTTTTTTGCACCCAAAAATAGGCCTTTTTCCTGTAGTTACTTTCGAGAAAAAATACATGTAAACATAGTACCGCAATAACAAAAAACTAATGCAAGAAAGCTCATGCAATTCAAAAAAAATAAGTGTCTCGATAACTATTGGTTATCGACTCTAATAAAAAAATTTAATTTGAAACATGAACAGATATTACAGAAATTTTGTATACGTAATATTCACAAGTTATTAATAAATTATGACTTGAAAAAATATAATTATTGACAATTCACAAAAAATTCTTGACGTTTTAAGTTTCTTAGTTGAGGTTAAAATTTTTTCCAAATAAATTGTAGTTCTAAGGTTTTTTTTTAAATGGGCGAAGAACAGCATGTTTTAGAGAGTATTTTGAAGTTTTTAAATAGTACTTTCACTTTTGCTTTTAAATAGTATTTACTGATAAATTTTAATGAAAGAGTGAGTGTAAGCATGATTTTATTAATTCAACTAGAGCGTAAAGTATGAGTCTTCATGAAATTTATAAAAATTTTGTTAAACTTTTATTCAACGAATTAAAGTGCCCTCATAACATTAAAAATCATAATATTCAACAGAAAGTTTCCGAAAATAGATTTAAAAAATGAAGTTTAATTTTCAAACATCTGCAGATAATTCTGGTCTGCGTTTTTTACATTGATAATGACTATGTATGACTGTGTTTTGCTAAATATTTTTGAATTAAATGTAACTATTTACAGTCTTCGGGATCAAATCTGTGATTGAATAAACTTTTATAGGTTAAGATTTTGTTTTCATTTTTGTTTATTATGCATTTTTTGAGCAAAACCTAAAAAAACATCATAAGAACCCATGTTTCAATCACAATTTTCAACAAGCTTTTTCTCACAATTTTGACGTTTGATGCAATCAAATCAGCAATTTTTAGGAAAAATAACATCGTAATTTAATAAATAATTTCCAAAAATTTCAAATTAGGTTGTTGTCAAGGTGCTAAATTTTTACTGATACATTGAATACTAAGTTAAAACTTATATTTAATTTAATAATAGTGTCAGTGACTTTCTAATTCAGAAAATCATACAGTGTGAGAAAATTGAAATTCGCTGAAATCCAACTTAATTTATTATTTCATGTCACAGGCCCGTTAAATCTACGCCACTGTGAACTTCTGTGAAAATTAATGTATGCTTGAATCTAGTTAAGAGGTCGATTTTCATATGAAATATAGGTGCAAATGCAAAAATGGTATTTCGTGACAGGGACTATGAGACTACCAACATTTTGATTATAAATGTTAAGTGATTGATCCACGTTATTTTCGTGACTTATACTAAATATGATTTAATGTGTTGAAAAACTTTTTGTACCTTCTGCACACGGTCCGTTGAGAGTATGGTTATTGGGTCGAAAAATAACACTCCAACGTTGATGTAAAATGTGACTGAGCACAGTGTAGTTGAAACTTACGTCAACCTGATCAGGCTCAATAGAGTTCGCGTAACAGAGAACAATCATCAATTGATACGAAATTTCTCCAATACAATGATTTAATAAAATCAAATATGAAAAGTTTGATTCAAAAAATAGTACGCATATTTCTATCAGCGTAGTAAGAAAGACTTTTTTTTTACCTAACATGTAATTTATCGTTTACATTGCTGCATGTTTAGTTGTGTTATAAAAAAAAATTTAAATATATACATCATCAAAAATATTTTCTAATGATGTATATTTTGATACATAGCTCTTTAACTTACAACTAGTATTGAAATGTAAAGACGGA